ATATATATATATATTATACATATATATTATTTTTTTGTTACAATTGACAGTAACAATTGACGAATGCTAAACATCTAATTGCATACATTCTATTTATCTTATTTACCGACACGTGAGCAATAAAGCTTAGCACACGCGACTGATAATTAGAATTCCTTACTTAGTTAATATCGTACATAATTTACGTTCATCGACATTTTGCTTCGGGAGCTTAACTATTCCTGCTTCTCATCGTCGTGGAGTGCTTGACATGTCATGAAGCATAATTGTCGATCCACTTTGCACCACTGATCGTATCGACGTGGTATCGTCACTCGAATGTTTGTCACCCAATACCTATTTATTTTACAACGATATGATTTAATTTTAGAAACTCTTGCCGCGGGAATGAAAACTCCTTGAATCCAGACAGAAGTGCTACGAATATTATAATTTATTGTGATATAAATTCGATGAAATTTGTGAACGGAATAATTATTTAGAAATTACTTAATGTGCTTCCAGCATTTCATTAATTTCTGAATGTTAATTATCTCAATTAGAATTCTAATAAATTTAACCAGAAATCTGATAGATTTAATCAGAATTCTGAATCATTTATTTTTCATCAGAATTCTAATGAATTTATCCAAACATTTTTCTCCGTGAATAATTGCGCATAGGATAATTAAGACATGATACATAAATAATAGGGAGTTTTTGCAATATCATTTATCCAGATACGGTTAAGGTCAGATACACTAAGGTCAGATCATCTTCTTCTTAACAACTAATTAAGAAAAAGATAACGTGACTAGCATTTACCGTATCTGGATTGACGTTATTGCAAAAACTTCCTAATATATCACAGTTGGCGCAGCGGGAATAACTTACGAAATAATTGTATCAATTACGCGTAAAACTTTTCAATTTTGACCAACTTTTGCGAATTAACTTGCACTTCGGTAGGACACTATTATTTGCAACGCTTGCGAGCAAACAATAATTGCTAGGATAACTCCTGGAAGAAAAGGATTATAGTCCCGAGCGACTACGGGGTGTTTTCTCGGAAATTGGAGATATACGCCTCTATACATTACGATTGTATCCTTCGCTATTTGTGTTATACTTTCTGTCTTCGCGAGAGATTTTCTTTCCAAATTTTCTACGTTTCTTGTGCAGTACTTTGAAATCGTTTTACGTAAATCCGAAGAAATTTTCTAGTTTAATTTGGCATCAACCATCGAACTACTTAGCATCAAGAAAGACACTTAACTTTTAACGTTTATGTTAATATGTACCATTCCACTTTTCGTTAATAATTTACTTACCGAATTTCAAGGAACTTTGGATGCACACCTGCGTTCATACTTCGTTAGACGCTTTCAAAAGATAAAGTTGTTTCCTGCCATGAGCAAAGCGATCCGTAAAAATGTCTTAATTGGCAGAATTGTCTTCTGTACAATGGAAGACAAAATATTTACTTAGCTATGTACATATAGAACGTCAGAATATTATTCGTTTTTCTCGATTTTAAATATATACGAAGTTTTGATTTTACGCTGAAAGTCATAATTAAAAACGTTGCGCGAATGTTACGAATGAGATTTTCATTCCATTTTTTTATTTACGACGTGTGCGCACGTCACGCTGAAATAATGTGCAATTAACTACGTTCCTGCGTATTCGTTTACACGCAATTATGCCGCCGACGATCAGTGATGCGTGATACGCATGCTTGCGTGTATCTCACCCTATGCCATTGTAATCCGAAATGAAAGCCCGGTTGCATGAGCCAGGTATACCCATTTTTTTTTCGATAAATCAATTATCCATTCATAATAGCCTATTGATTAAGCCAGATATAACTAAGTAATGAACGTGGATGGAAAAGAGGATAAAATTGGTGGTACAGATTGCGATGCCATGTATAAAGGTAAAAAGAAAATCTTTACGTGTCATACAAAACACGCTCATTTCACGCTCACTCTCGTTGATACACAATCAAAATATTGGGATGTATCTATGGAATCGCAAAATGCAAATAGGAATATGAATATACGTAAAGAATGATTTTACTGAAGTACCTAAAAAATTATAACTATATAGATACAGATTTGAAAATAATTGTGTTGGACTATCAAATTTATAATTATGTAAAACGCTTAATATTGTTGCTTGAATGTCAAAACTTTCAGCATTGCTAATCATGTTTTAGTTTTTTACATAATTAATTATTTTGATAGTTCATAAACGAATTCAGAAGAGGATTTAGAATGTTCAATCTTCTCTCCCTAAATTTTGATAATACAATAGCAGAACACGCTCGTTTCTCTCCCTCATTATTGATATGCAACCAAAATATTACTATGGTGTAAAAAAAATATGTGCTAATATTATTATGGTGTGGAATCGCAAAACACGAAGAGAGATAAATATACGAAAAAAATAATTTTGCTGAAGTATCTAAAAATTTAACTGGATAACAGATTTGGTAATAATTTTGTTGACTTGTCAAAATAATTATGTAAGACGTTCAATCTGGTTGCTTGAATGTTTGTTAAAAATTTGTTTATAGCATTAGCTCATTTTGTAGCATAGCTCATCATGCTTGAGTTTTCTATATAATTATTTTAATGATCCCTGAGCGTATCCAAGGAATTAAAGATTTGGAATGTTCAACCAAAACCTAAATTTTGTAACACAATGGCAAAACGCGTTTTTTACCCTCGTTATTAATACAATTAAAATATTAAGGTGTATTCATGAAATTGCAAAACGCGAAGAGAGATAGATACATGAAAAGAATGGTTTGGCTGAAATATCTAAAAATTTGTAATTAAATCTAAAAATAATTTTGTTGGATTATAAATAATTATATGAGACATTTAATTTGCAGGTTGCTTAAATGTGTACTAAAAACTTTTTACAACATTGCTCATCATGCTTGAGTCTTCTATATAATTGTTTTGATGGTCCATGAGTGTATATCCAGGGGAAAGTTTAGAATGTTCAATCCTCTTCCCCTGAAAATTTAGCAACACAATGGTAGAAGATTATCCGAATAGCATAGCTTTTATGTTAATTCATAGCGATATTACTGTGAATCCTAAAGATGTATTAATTTGTTTTGGAAAAAAGATCATCGCATAATTTAATTTTGTAAAATTTTATTGAATAATCTTCTTTACTTTATTCATTATTCTTCTTTTTTTTCATTTAACTTTAACTTAATATTACATTTTTAATAATATCTAGCAATGTTTTTCTCATACAGGAGGTCTTTTTATGTTCTCTTTTCTGAAATTTTTTTTCCTAAAAAAATGATAATGAATATTTTGTATACATAATAATAATAACAATAGCAATATTAAAGAACTATAGATTTTGTTTTTAATAACTGTATGTGGCTATACTTTTTTTAGGAAAAAAAAAGTTATGTATGATTTACAAATTTAATATTTTTTCTATTCGAATTAAAAATAAGAAGACATTCTAAATTCTAAAATATAAAAAAAAGAATTTATTAACGTAACAAATCGCTGCTAATAATAGAATTGAATTAACATCCCCAAATCCTACATCCGTGTGACGATTCAAAATTATCTTCAGATCTGTATCTATCTACACAGAGAAAATAATTTACTTGGACTCGAAACTATTTACT